CAGCAAAAAACACCACAGGGTCCAGCATCATGTTGCCCGGTTCTAGCACCATCATATCCCCATGGTCACCGTCATCGCAACTTATTCGACGGCCGATTGCAGCACAAAAAGGCGGCGGCAGCTGAGGGAGTCCTGGACTAAGGGGTCCTCGGGCGTCCGGGCTATGTGATATGGACCAGACTGATGAGCCATGAAGATACAAGATAGAAGAACCTTTCCCGTGTCCGGATGGGACTCTCCTTTGCGTGGATGACAAGCTTGGCGTTCGGATCATGTATTTTCCTTCTTCTGTAACCGACTCTGTACAACCCTAGACCCCTCCGGCGTCTATATAAACCGGAGGGTTTAGTCCGTAGGGCAAGATCACAATCATACAGGCTAGACATCTAGGGTTTAGCCATTATGATCTCGAGGTAGATCAACTCTTGTAACCCCTATACTCATCATAGTCAATCAAGCAGGAAGTAGGGTATTACCTCCATTAAGAGGGCCCGAACCTGGTTAAACGTCGTGTCCCCTGCCTCCTTGTTATCTTTGATCCTTAGACACATAGTTCGGGACCCCCTACCCGAGATCTGCCGGTTTTGACACCGACATTGGTGCTTTCATTGAGAGTTCCACTGTGTCGTCACTAGAAGGCTCGATGGCTCCATCAACCATCCACAACTTTCCGCCCTGAGGGAGATTTTTCCTCTCGGCCAAATCTTCGTATTCGGCGGCTTCGCACTACGTGCCAATTCGATTAGCCATCTAGAGCAGATCGACAGCTACGCCTCTGGTCATCAGGTCAGTTTCGGAAACCTAAATTACGTCGCTGACATCCGAGGAGACTTGATCTTCCAAGGGTTCACGACTCAACAACAGCTCCAACCTTGAATCCGGAACTCCTCGCCGAGTCCGAAGACGGGAGTTTAGAGCCCGCCGGACTCTCCACAGCCATAAAGCTCAATACCGGAGATACGGAGGGAATCGTTTCAATGGTCGGTCCGGAGCCACTCCAGGCCCCCTCCATCCTCATCAAGCCGGACTCACCTCCACACCTCAACTCCAAACTCTTGAAGTCTGTGTTATACGAGCCCGGCCAGGGAACTCCTGTCCCGCCACGCTCCACGGATTCTCACTTCCCTGTCTAGATCTCGCTCTTAAAGGAGGCTCTGGACTTAATGCGATCTCTCGCCATTACAAAAGGATCGCTGCCAAATTACGCCCAGCCAGCACTAGGGGCTGAGAGCGGGGAATTTTACGTCCCACCCACCACCCACTTCAGAGCCACTATCGAGGACTTAACCGACATGCTTGATTACGCTTACGAAGACATCGACGGCATAGATGATGATGCCGGAGAAGAGAAAAGCAGAACCCGCCACCTACAAGACGCTGGACGGCTACCTCCACATATGCCGTATACATGGTGGACACACCCAAAGAAAATGATGGCGAAGGTGGGAAGGACCCAGTCGAGGATAATTCTCCTGTGGCACCACCAAAGCATCATCGTCAGCGGCATCGCTCTAAACCGCGTCGAGAAAAAGACAGCAATACCGGCACCGGAGACAACAACACTCCGGATAACACCAAAGACCAAGAAGCCCCTGTCGAACCACAATCCGAACATGATGAGTGGGAGGAGGGGCAAGTCGACCCTGACGATCCCATCGGGAACGAGGGCTCAGAGGATGGTAGTTACGTACCGATCTTCGAAGAAGATGAGAGCCTCGGTGACGAAGAATTCATCGTGCCAGAGGAACCCTTCGAACAAGAGCGCTTTAAGCGCCGGCTGATAGCCACGGCAAGAAGCCTAAAAAAGAAGGAGCAACAGCTTCAAGCTTATCAGGATTTGCTAAATGACAGATGGACTGATGTCCTAGCAGCCGAGGAATACGGCCTCGAACTCCCAACCAAGAGTTACTCGAGGCGCAAACTGCTGCCCCAATTCGACGACGAGGCCCCAGAGCCTATACCGCCCAAGCATAACGCTACCAATGGACCTGACCGACCACCACGTGGCCAAGACAGAGCGGCAACTCAAGTCGAACACCCTCCTGCACCACCCCACCATAAAGGTAAAGAGACAACAACTGCAGGATACACTTACGACCTACAACAGGACCTGGATAATAGAGCCGGTCAGGCCAGATCAATATAGGAATCAAGGGGCCGAGCCCCAACGTGAGAAGATGGCCATCAAGCCTGGCGTGACAAGCATAACTTCACCCGGGCTGAAAACCGCATACGGACTCCATCCGAACTGTCGTGACGTGGCCCGATGGAACACCAATTCCCAAAAGGGTTTAAAGCCATGAACATCGAATCATACGATGGCACGACGGATCCCGCAGTGTGGATCGAAGATTTCCTTCTCCACATTCACATGGATCGCGGTGATGATCTACATGCCATCAAATACCTCCCTCTCAAACTTAAGGGACCAGCTTGGCACTGGTTAAACAGCCTCCCAGAAAACTCTATTGGGAGTTGGGAAGACCTGGAGGATGCCTTTAGAGACAACTTCCAGGGCACCTATATCTGGCCTCCGGACGCTGATGACCTTAGTCACATAGTCCAGCAGCCCAGAGAGTCAGCCAGAAAATTCTGGACCCGGTTCCTAGTCAAAAAGAACCAAATTGTCGACTGTCCAGACGCTGAGGCTCTAGCAGCCTTCAAACACAGCATCCGCGACGAATGGCTTGCCCAACACCTCGGTCAAGAAAAGCCAAAGTCTATGGCAGCCCTCACATCACTCATGACCCGCTTTTGCACGGGCGAAGATAGCTGGCTTGCGCGCAGCAGCAACACTACCAGCGATCCTGGCACTTCCGAAGCAAAGAACAAAAATGACAGGCCCCGACGCAACAAAAACAAGCATCAAAACAACATTGACAATACCGAAGACACGACGGTCAACGCTGGATTCAGTGGCTCCAAAGCCGGTCAGCGAAAGAGGCCATTCAAAAGAAACAAAGACGGTTCATCTAGCCTGGACCGAATACTCGATCGACCTTGCCAGATTCATGGCACCCCGGACAAACCTGCCAACCATACCAACAGAAGCTTTTGGGTTTTTAAGCAGGCCAGCAAGTTAAACACCGAGCACACGAGGAAAGGGTCGCCCAGCGA